ATATCTATATAATTATATATTATATCTGTATAATTATCTATGTCATAGATATATAATATAGATAATTATCTAAAATTATACTAAAAATGAGTTAAGCAACAATACAAAATATATAGCACTACTGAAACACCCAAGTTTATTGGTCAGACTGGCCCATAGATAGAAAGAAACCTTTCAAATAATCCATCCTTCAAGATACATATTCCACACTCATTCCAAAACACAGCACGAAGCCCCCTGCTAATTATTACCGACTTCCCAAAAGGTAGGACAAACATTAATGCTTATCAATAGAAGATCCTTTCTACAAAGTTGTCCTCGCAAATATTAAAGAATAGGAGAGACGGGAAAAAAAGGAATCAAAATAATCTATTGGGAGCCTATTAAAAAAACCAATAAGAATATCACTAGAATTAAATAAAACATATAGGCAAAGAATCTGAACAATTAACATAAAAAGGATAATTTTAAATGGAGAGTAAGTAGGAAAAAATAGTCTCGCTCGCATTAAAATACTCATTGAACAAAAAAAAATTAATTGTAGGCAATGCGATCATTTAAAAGTTATACTGTTCAATGCTGGCGCAGTACAATGAGTCAGACACTCACAGTCTGCAGTGAACTTGGAAATGGGTTCACTTCTGCAACACTGCTTGGCAAAATGTCTCAGGAGCCTTAATTCGCATTCTTTAACACAGTGATTCTCAACTTCTAGGAAATATTTCAGAACATCAACAAGTATCTTTGCACGAAGATATTCCCCTCAGCATTGTGTTTAATAAAAAAAAAATTAAAGCCTCATAAATATCCAACAATCGAGGAAGCGTTAACAAAATTCTTTCTAAATTATATTTAGGAGGAATTTTAATGATGGGGATATTTTTATGATAAAAGATTAAATAAATGTGTGGTTTCAAATTGCACATATGTCAAAATGTAACATATCTCAGTTATGTTAACACACGCAAGACAAAAACGGAAAAAAACCACGCCAAAAAGTTAATAGTCTACTAATACTTCTCTGAGTGTTTGAGCCTTCGGGGTGACTGATTTTCTTCTTTATACTTCATGTATTCATGGTAAAAATGCAATAATTTAAAAATCAGAGGAAAAAATAAACATTCTTTTAGACGATGACGTTTCATATTTTAAAATCTGAACAGGGGTGACTTTTCCCCCATGGGACTCTGCACTGCTTTAAAATGCTGAAAGATTCCATCTTCTGAACTACAAATTCTGGAAGTAAAAGCAGACTGCCTCCTCCTTCCTCTCCTCCCGTCCACTTCTGTTCACAGTCTGCTCTTCCCGGGGCATCGCTGGTCAGGCCAACCCCACACTGCTCACTCCTCGGCTCTGAAGCCATCACTCTGAATTACATACTTTTCTTTCACTCATCTGTTTCTTGGTTACGATCAAGTTCCTTTCAAAGTCACTCAACAAACATTTACCTAGCACCTCCTCTAGGCCAGGCTCTGCTAGATACTTGGCATGTTTTACTTCGGGCCAGTGGAGGAGTTCCTGACAGGAAACGCTATGCTGTCCACTTCCTGGGCACTGCCTGGGGCAGGGCAAACTGAGGGAAGGGCCAGTCAGTGGGTACCACTGACAAAGTCCCTACACTCTGCCTCCTTCCATTTCTGCACTGGACATCTCTGCAGCTCAACTGCCTCTTCCCCCAAGCAGGCAGGCCACAATCATCTTGTGGCCAGAGTGATTCTTAATGGGCCCTGAACCTCTAGTCTCATATGCTCCATACCCCCTCCATGCTCTACTGGAGTCATCTTTCTAAAATGAAACTGATTATTAGATACTTAACCCTACTTAGAACCCTCAACACTCCTCACCTCACTCTCCCCATCACCACTGCTGCTCTTAAGACAAATTCAGAACTCTTCCACGTGGCTGCGTTACTGGCCCTTCCTAACCTCTCCAGCCTCAGTGGTCACCCCTCATTTATTTATAGATTTATTTAACTGCTCCATGAGTTTTGGTGGACGGCTTTCTATGTGTCAGGCACTGTGCTTGGTACCGAGATGCAGCTATGAAAGAGACACACCCTGCAGGCATGGAAGTCAGTCTTCATTACAGCTGCTTTCTGTCCTTGCTGCTCAGAGTGTGATGCGTGGACCAGCAGCATCAGCATCACCAGGAAGCAGAATCACAGATCCTTCCCCAGACCTACTGAATAGAATAGTATTTCAATTCACAGGTGAATGTCAACATCTGAGAAGTCTGGCTTTGAGTCCCTTGAAATGTCAGTGCCTACTCTCACTTGTTGCCCTCCACGCCTGCATTTCATCAGCCTGTGATACTCTTTGCCCTTCTCTCTGCCTAACTCCCAACTATCCTTCAGCTTTCACATGGATTTCCTGTCTGCTAGGAAGATTTCCTTCCCTGTCCTCCTAAGTTGGGGTTAAGTGACACCCCCAAGTGCTGTCACCATCAAAACACTTATGGCTTTGTGCTGTGGAGCTGCCCCCACCACCGCAAATGCTGTAAGAGCAGAAGCTGTCTGTCTTTTTGTAAGCGCATCCCTAGCAGCAAGGCTGGTGTCTGACAAAGAGTAGCAGGTCAATGAAAAGCTGTTAAAAAAACACATAGAATTCGGTGCAACTGCAAAATTCCCAGCCTTAACAAATAATTTAAAGTTTCTAAATTCCTCAGGAGAAGGTGGGATTTGGAGGAGCTGGGGGCAGTGAACAGGTTCCTAGGAAGAAACCAGCCCTATCTGCGTCAATTCCATGCTTCATGTTTTAGGTACAGGCTTAGCCTTGTATGGACCCCTGCTAGCTCACTAGACATCTTTGTGTAAATTAGAAAGAGAAGCTCCTCCTTCCGCATGACGCAATTCTAGGTTTGGGTGCATGAAAGAGTCAGCAAGCAAATCACAAGCTGGTTTTCAGTTGCCCCCTATGCCGGGTATAGCCTGCACCACCATATGTGGTGGCCCTACCTTGTACCCACACTTACACTTGTCCCAGCCAAGGAAGAACGGCCACAGAGCAAGCACTGGAAACCAGGTCCTGCCTCTGTGTGACCTCAGGTGAACTATTTAACTATTTAACTTCTCATACAATGGAGATAACGTCAGCCATGCCTACTTCACAGGGCTTAGAGAATCAATATTTTAAAATAGAGTGAAGTCATACCTTCCACAGAGTTTATTTTCTAAAGCCAGAGGGTAAGGTGAAAACTGCATCTGACCACAATTACTCCTGAAAATGCCTTTACATCACCCATTAAATAGAACCTCGTGCCCAGGCTGACATGCTGCTCCGGAGACGGGCATGCCTCTCTCAGTAGGCCACCGCGACCTCCAGGCAGGCAAGAGATGCTGATTCATCGGTTGAACTAATTGGCTTACCTGCACAGGCCATGTCTACCTAAAGTACAGAACATCAAATACCAGAATCACCTGCAACCCGATGAGATCCTCAACACGAGGTCTCCAGCCCCAGAGGCAGCCCAGGCAGCTGAGACCCGCCCCCCTATCTTGTACTCACTCACTACATGCTCACTGAAGGGAATGCAAGTGAAATCACTAACTCAATTTAAATTATGTTTTCTTCTGTCTCCCTTTTGTGCCAAACATGTAGAGTTGAATTTGGGCAAGTTAAATGCAGAGTCTAATGATGCTTGAAAACTCTGAAGCAAAATATAAACACAAGGCATTATTTTTGTGATACACCTACCCAATCAGTATTCTGCGTTGTGGGAAAATCCACACTGTTCAGTACAGAAAGCTGCTAGTGTGGAAAACCTTTAGCTTGCTCCATTAGCTCGGGGCGCACATGCAGAGCATCTCCTCCCCTGCTGGCATGCTCCTAGGAAGAGGTGCTGCTCTGAGTTCTGTTCCCCGTAGTGGAAGGACTGGCACAGAGCCATTTACAGTCTTTCACCTCATTCCTCTTATGCATAATAGCCAGGAAGGAATTAGACCTACGGGCTGAAGGAGCAAGACGGAGCAGGGCAGCAACTCTAGCGTGAAAGCTGCAGGACCAACCTTCTTGGATTTGCTGATGCCCAGAGCTAATCTCTCAGAGCAGCATCTGCACAGGCCACCAAGCAAACAGTCCTCTCAGTTGCCTGCTCCAAGACTCCAGACTGAAAAGAAGTCCCAGCTCCTTCCAGATAAAAGCCACATGTGCCGTTTGCTTTCCAGAGTAAAACATATCATTGTGAATGCCACCAAAATAAACATTTATCTTCATGCACCACCTGGGCCACTCTGGAAATGTTCTATTGAACCAATGACCTACCATTCAATCCTACATATAAAGAACAGAATTTTTTTTACGAACAAACTGTTTTTAAAAACAGAGACAAAGCACTCTTCAACACCTCTGCAGCCTGCTACAGCCTTATACTCCACTTTCCATAGTTCTAATATAACTAATCTTCATTCAACAGGAAATCTCTAAGAGAAAAGCAAGTATTATACATGTGCATGGCTACTGACCTAACCTCCTTATTTACATAGTTTGTGGAAGTAATTGTAGCCAAAACAAATACAAATTAACAATGTACTGCTGTTAATACTATCTCCAATGGAAAACTGGGGTCACCAGGAGAACAAAATGTTATTCAGAATCTTATTTGTGCACCTACTGGTGTTCCCTGCTGTGCTAGGTGCTGTGGAAGACTGATGCAAAGATGCGCTGGACAGAGTTTTGGCCCCACCTTTCCCCTCCCCCCAAGAAAGCTTGAAGTCTACAAGTGCCTTAAGCCAGCAACTTACCATATGTAAACCAATAGGAAAAACACTAACCCTTGGCAGAAAAAGAGATCAAGCCTTCTTGATTAGTTAGTAACAAGTTCAGATGTTCCTCTGAGGAATACTGTAACTCATCTATCCATTTATCTCAACATACACAATGGCTTTAAGTAACAACATTTAGCTGATGGGAGAGAAAAAAACCCTAGACAACAATGGAGGAAGAGGAGATATTTTACTATTCCAAGTACATAAAGGTATGGTTCAGAAGGGTCTGAATACTCACTGTTCTTCTTGTACATCAAAATTTCAAAGGAATTCATCTCATAGTTCTCAAATGTTTGCCGCACCTTCTCAATTGTGTCTTTATCGGTCAGCTCCCCATACATAAAACTGCAAAGCAACCAAAGAGCTCAAGTTAGATTAACAAGTATTTATTATTCTACCAGCATATGTTAAATATCTGTTCTATACCCAGCACTGTGCTACATGGAATGAACACACACAAACACACACACACACACACACACTGGAAACATTCATTCCATCAAAAAAGATTTGCTGATTCAACTGTGATCAAAACTCCATCACTGCCCTCCAAAAATGCACTGTCTAATAAGAGAGACACACTAGAAAAGAGTAGATCAGAAAACAGTATGACCAACACATTAGAAATTACAGAACACAGAAACACAGAACAGGTACAGAACACTATCTGAGTGATCAGAGAAGGCTTCCCAGAAGTAAGGACAAATGAGATCTAAAGAGCAGATGGAAATTAGCTGAGAAAAGGAGAGAAAAGAATATTGCAGTGAAAGATGAGCATGTGCAAAGGCACAGAGGTGAGAGGGAGGTTAACTCTGGAACCTGAATATAGTTCAGTTCAGTATGACTGGAATATAGACAATGAGGGGAAATTTTGCAACAGATAACATAGGGAGTAAGGACAGGCCAGCCGATGGAGGAGAACATGGTAGTATAGGCCATGTGACGTCATTCAAACTTTATCCTGAAAGCAACATGGGGGCGGGGGAGGAAGTACTGGGGGGTTTTAATCAAAAGAGTTAAATACAACTCTGGGAGACTTCTTAGGAAAGATGGTAGAGTATATTTGGACCACAGACTTTTCCTCTTCTGATTCTCAACAAAATAAACAAAAGAATAGGAAAAATCACAAAAATTCACCAACCAAACAAGGAAAAGGGTGCAATTTGATGTTCTAAGTGTTAAGACAGAGCTAAGGAAAGAAAGAAGATTCAGCCACCGTCTGTGCAGCTCTTTTTCCTACACTCACCACCAAAAAAGAAGAAAAGCATTGGGTTAAAAAACTGACGTGATAAAATCCTACAAATGCTTACCAATACACCTCCCTACGGTTCACATTTGGAGAAAAGTAGACTAAGCGGGTAAATAAGCAGCATGAAAAAAAATTAGAGAAAATCCCTGGACTGTAGAAGCTCCTGCCTTCCTAACACTGGTCCTCAGCAGAGGCAGGACAACTGCCAGGACCGTCCATTTCCCTGGGCCCCACACTGCATAAGGTCCAAAGATCAAGGTTTGTCCCTCTGGGAACAGGATATGCCCCCAACTAGGTAGAGTGAACCATGGCATAGGACACTAACAAAATGCAAGAGGACAAAAGGTATCTCTCAAGGGGGCTGGAAAAGCTGGTCCTCTGACAAAGGCTGCCCGTGGACCCAGCGAGCATCTCTCCTGACCACCCCAGGCCTTTAGCCGACAATGACAAGGAAGGACAGCAACAGCAGCCCTTAGGTCTTAGGCAAGGTAGAAGCAGTGGAATGGGTTCCTAAGCAATACACTCCCCATCTTCTAAGTTTGTGCAAACCAAATGCAATCTAACTTTTTCTTGATGACCCAAATCACAGAATCATAGAATTTCAGACTTTAAAAGAATCTCAGAGGTTGTCAAGTGCAATTCCTGAACTACCAAGTCAAGAGCCATGCATAGCTTGATACTGGAACAGCCTTGGGCTTACTGCAGCCTTCTGCCTTCCAGCACCCCATAAGAAAAGCACCCTAGCTGTGGACTTGATGAATTCTGTGCCACTTTTGTTACTATGTCCCTTCCCAGCCCACTGAGGGGCTTGTACACATCTCATGGAGCACTCTGCTTTTGGGTTGTGTTCTTCATCTATAAACCAGGAAAACAGATAACTGACTTTGTGGAATTATCTTTAAAAAGAGGGACAGATCAAGACTAAATAATCCCTGGCTGAGAACAAGAGGATTTCTCCTAGGAGGTACAAACTTAAGCTCTATGACCATTTCATTTAGCCAGTTGTGCAGAGGCCTTTTTAGCTTCCTCCCACTTTCTCCTTCCGAGCTAATTTTCTAGATAAGTCACCTCTATTTCAGTGACAAGACAGTATATATGCTAGCAATTTCCTTCATAAGGTAAAACAAATCCCTGTAAGATGGAGTCTTCAAATACATAATGTACCATAATTACACCCAGTTTTCATTAGGTTTAAGTACTTTTTCAAGCTTTAGTTTAAGCAAAAGAGTAGACGTAAGTTTCCTTTACCTGAACATTAGATTTCAGACGCCTGCAATGCAAGAAATAAGCAAAAAGCCTCCTGAGCTATTAGGAAGATAGCTAGCACAAAGGTATGTCTGCTTCATTTCTAGAGAAGGGACACCTGCAGGGAATTAAATAAGTTTCTTAGAATTGTGCATAAAAGCAAAGTTGGCTAAATTAGCAAGTTGTCTTATCTGATTTTCTTAAAGTGTGCGATTATAGCCAACAAGAAGCAAGAAAGGTAAAGGGAGGCTGCTTAAGTCACTAAAAAGTGAAGCTAAGTCTCCCAATTTGTTCTGATTGTAAATGTGTATATGGATGTAGAAGTAGATGCAGAGACAGAAACCTAAGAGGATAACAGTACCCCAAGAATGTAAGAGAATTCTATCAGATCACTTAAGAGTCATAATTTCTAAGCCTTTGGGAGGGAAGAGGATTCTTAAATTTTCTATTTCCCAGTCCCAAAAATCTGAAATTTAAGAAAACGATAATATTTTCAAAGCATTTAATACTTTCCACCAAGCTAGTTACTTGGCTGATTTAATATCATGAAAACACAACTTCTGAAAACTGAAGACCATGCCTGGGTCAGACAGGTTTTTCCACTCTTCAGAGATGAGCTTATTTCTTGATCGGGCAGGTTTGGGAAAATGATTCCACGTCATGCAAACATCCCTGAAGACAGAAGAACTCTGAAGAAGGTTAGGAGTGAAAGGAGCCAACAGCTGTGCTGAGCCAAGACCCTGCCAGGGCAGTGCAGGGGAACGTCCTGCAGGGTCCGGTCTACACGCTCTGCTCAACACCTTGAAGGCGCTTTAAAAGAACTGCTCTAATGCCATGGCCCAAAGGTACTGCTTGGTTAGTGACCCTGTCAAATTCACAAGCTGGGCTGTTAGCACCATTTGCCTCGCCTTTGAGTTAGCCATCAGAGAGAGATGGAACAGCATGAATTAGAAGACAAGAAAATATTGGTTCTCTTCTCTTTTTCTGATGAAAAGCCCTATGAACAAGGCCCTTGGCTCCAACATTGCAGTTATTCGTCTAAAGCAGTCATACATTTTTAAAAATTAATTTAATCATCTAAATTTTTATTTCATTTAATTTTATTTAATCTTCTCTCACATAATTTCATCTAAAACCTCATAAACTTTTGAGTTCACATTTAATAGATAAAATGATTTTCCTGAGTTTTTCTAGGTTTTCCCCCATCTCACTGACTGCAAGTTCATCAGTGGTGGGGACCATGTTTTGGGTCTTCTTTGATTTTCCCAGGACAGTACATGAACTCGAGACGATATTGCAATAAATATTCCTGAATAAACACTGAGTGAGAGAAGGGCAATTCCCAAGCTGAGTAAGCCATTTTCTTTTTCCGAAAGATACCATGACAGATTGTTCAACAGAACAACCCCAACATAAATACCTGCAGGTACTGCTTTTTTGCATCACTTCCGCCCTGTGATAGCCAGACAGCTTGCAAAATCCATCATTGCTGTACACGATAGGCCAGTCCACTATCTGGGCATTCCCCAACACAAAATTAGTATCTGTTAAAAAAAAAAAAAAAGAAGAAGAAGAAGAAAAAGAAAAGAAAAGGGCACATGAGGCAAGACATTAGTTGAGATTCAATGAGGACATAAATAATGTCAACCAATCCAGGTACTGTTGCTTCCCTCCAAAACACAGTCTCTTGAACAGGAGAAAGGCCCTGTGAGGAATACAGAAGAACAGAGCTCTAGGGCTGAATATCTTGAATGCAAATGCTAAGGTTACTGTACTCCAAGAAGTTAGCAAAGGAACCATGCTTAACTACCCAACCAAGACACCTGTAGAAATCCAGTGATTCCCATAAGGCGTATTCGAGTCCTAATTTTTCATCTCAATGAAAGTATACTGGTAATATGGAGCAAGAGAGAACCCAAAAGCAATTTCTTCTAGGCTCCATCCAGTACCTTAGCCTTGTCAGTCTTTGAGCCAGAAGCTACAATTTGACCTCATGGACCTACAAATTTCTCCTCCTAAGGAGGAGAAGGCCTTCTTAGAGAGGCAGAGGAAGGGGGACCGAGGATTGCCTCATGGAACACACACACCAGAGACAGCCCTCCTCTTGGTAAGAAAGTGACTGGACCCTCCTAAGACTAGAGCTTTGTAGAACTTGATCAAGATGCTCGCAATGACAAAAACCTTATGATTTTGAGATTTTGTAGTCACAGAAGCCATCTTTCAGAGCTCCTTCACGGAGCTCCAGCCCACCATTCACTTCCGACGCAGGGATTAAGTAGGCCAGACATGCCTGGCAGCTTAGTGTGTTCTCACTACCCACATTTTTGAACATCTAAAGTCTTTGATACATTTTGTGCTCAGGAAATCATCTGTCCCTCTTTTCTTTTCAAGACTTTAAATTAAGCAAATAACACCCAGAACTTAAATGTAATCATTATTTTAGCTTGACTCTCTCCTCTCCACAGAATACTCACCCCTTCCCAAACAAAAAAGAAAGAACACACACCCTTCTTTTGTTAACCTGGAAGAGGTTTTGTTTATATATGTATATACACTACATGGAGTGAAATACGGTGACATACAATGTCCTCATTTAATTGGGAGGTTAATTTTGTTCTAGTACAGCATTTACAATTTATTCACAATACGGATCACCATCCCTTCCTAACCATGCAAGAAGGAGTAGAGGAAAGAGAAGGAGAAGAGCTAACTAAATACAGTAATCTATTCTCGAGAATTCTTTGATCTATTGAAAAGGAACATAAAACACGATTTTCATGAAGTGAATCTGTAAACCTGCTAATTGTATAAATGCGCTTTTAATGAAATCTACAACCAGTGCTTCCCTCCGTCTCTCCCATATATCCATAAATACTTCTTGAGTGCCCATTAGGTACCAAGGACAATGCAAGACCCTGGGGATATACAGCTCAATGATATGATCCTTGCACTCCAGGAACTTATCAGGACAAACAGACATGTTCACAACTAACTAAAGAAACAGGTAAGAAAATGATTAACTCTGAGGGAGGTAAAGGACTGGGTCTCAGAGGGCTCACACTTGAACTTGCTGTGGTCTAGGAGGATGAGTAAAATTCATTTAAACCACATGAATGCCTAAGAAGATACAAAAACAATGGAGAGAGAAATGAAATATGATACCTGCCTTTGGTGAACTCAAGAGGTTGTGGGAGGAAAGGAACATTCCAGGCAGAGGGGAAGCATGAGCAAAGGTCTGGCAGCAGGAAACACACAGCAGACTGGTGCAGACAGACAAAGGGCAGCAGGGAAGACCGGCATCGATGAGCCTGGAGACCAGACTGGGAAGGGTCTTGAATGTCAAGGAGCTCTGACTTTATTCTGGAGACAGAATAACCCTTCGTGTAGGTCTTCTCTCCCTGAACAAACTCACATTTCTTGAACTGAGCAAGTCAGCCTTAAAAGAAGCACAAAATTCATTAAATTCCCCCTGAGTGTATGTGAAGTCTAGTCAGTTTAACTCTCTCTCTTGTTTATCCTGAAATTGTAATTAATTTCCCTCAGAAGATCTAGAATAGGCGGGGAAAACTGAGTGAGCTTTTTCATGGCTAATGCCCCACTAAGATTAGGTGCTAAGAGGGAAGAATAGCCAGTTATAGATCACCGTTTGACTACAGGTGTTTCTTTTCTTTCCTATCCTAGTCCCCACTAAAATAAAAGTAAGTGAATTAAAAAGGTACAAACTTACCAAAAAAAAAGAGTAAAAAACGAACCAAAAAAAATTACTACAGAAGCAGAAATAATATAAGCAACAGAGAAAAACTTTTTTTAAAAATCCCTAATTAGTATCCTAAGAGCGATTTAAGAGATAGTACATCCATAAAACAAAAACAGGATGCTATGAGGAAAAACGAAAACCCATAAGAGAAGAAATAAGAGCTCCTATAAATTAAAACTGAGTAACAAAAATTCACCATATGTCAGAAGATAAAAGTCTCACAGAGAGTAGCACAGAAAGGGAAAGAGACAAGGAATATAAAGAAATAATAATAATAAGACATAGAGGATCAATCCAAGAGGAACAACTTGCATCCTAATGGGAATAGCAAGAAGAACAACATGAGAAAAGGCCAGAAAATATTTTTTTAAAAATTAAAACATTCAAATGTGAAAGTAGAATAAAGATATTTTCAGATATGCAAAGACGTGGGAAATTTCTTTCCCAAATGTTCTTTCTCAGGAGGTTGCTTGAGGACGTGCATCAGCAAAACGAGGAAGTAAAGCAAGAAAGAAGACAATAGGGGAACTGGGGGAAAAGTGGTTCCCCATGCAGAAGGCAGGGAAGGAAGCTAACAAAAAGCATTCAATCCAGAAAGGTTCAGAAAACAGAAGTTCCAGAAGAGGGTTAACAAGGGACAAAGAAGGTCAGGATCTGGGGCCGGCCCTGTGGCCAAGTGGTTGGATTCACACGGTCTGCTTCAGCCGCCCGGGGTTGCACCGGTTTGCATCCTGGGCACAGACCTAGCACCGCTCATAAAGCCATGCTGAGGCGGCATCCCACATAGCACAACCAGAAGGACCTACAACTGGAATATACAACTATGTACTGGGGGGCTTGGGGGAGAAGAAGAAGGAGGAAAAACAAAAAGAAGTTTGGAAACAAGATGTTAGCTCAGGTGCCAATCTTTAATAACCAAGGTCAAGATCTGATGATATTCTTGATAATTTGGAACAACACAAAAAGTCAATAAAGGCATATAATTTGGGGGACAGGAAAGGAAATTAGAAACATCAAAGAAAACAAAAGCTGTGCAAGAAGGGAAATCAAATCAGACTATGTCACGTCGTTGTCATAGTAATGGAAACACCTTTTAAATTTCTAATTTTTAAAACAAACATATAGTTGAAGCACAAAATATTTAATTATCATAAGTACCTGAATATAACCTCACCAATTCTGATGCTGTAAAAATACTACAAGAGAGACAATTAGGAGATGATGTCTGGAGCTGACATAATAAAAAGGAAAGGTATAAATATTTTACTTAAAGTTGCAAAGATAACCAATAAGAGAGTAATATAATTATATTAGGAGGAGGGGGTAGGAAGTAGATAAAGTGAGCCAAAAACTCAACTAAAATAACAGAAGTCAACAGATAACATCTAAAATTGACAAATCTAGAAATAGCTATAATGCATGTTATTTAGAGACATGGCAGAAACTATAAGAAGAAACAGCTAAAATTAGAACATGTGGCGTCTGATGAGTGGGATGGGTGAAAGGACAAGGCTTAGGATGGTTGTTTTCTTTATGAGCTCTTCAGTCTGATTTTTTTAACCATGAGCATATATTACTTTGATAAAAATAAGTACAGTCTTAATTTTTAATGAATTTAATCAGAAAAGATTAATTTATTGGTTAAATTTTTCATTTACCAGAAAATGAGAACAGAATACATTTCAAGCTCCAGATACCACTGTGACTTCTCATAAAAGTATTCTGTTCATCCTTTAAAGATATTCATCATCCCTCAAGCCTTCTCTCTATTCCTGGGAAAAATCAAGGCCACTAGCATCTTCTTTGACTTTAAAAAGGAAACAAAATCCATGCTTTTAATCATTATATTACATAGTCTCCTTCTTATTCCATTAGGTACTAAAATTGGACCATTTCTATGAAAATCTTTGTAACATATTAGATTTATGTGCCTTCCACTAAGTATAATGGGACATTTAATTGATGAGTCAACATTACCATTACTGTCATCATATATTATGATTCTACTGTGTGACACACAACAATGTCTTCATGGAATATCGATATGGGTAGAAGTAATTGCTCCTCCTCTAAATGCTCAGGCTCTCCTGTCAGTCTTTTCAATGTTTTGTCTCTTTCCTCACTTGCCAACTATCACCTAACTTCTTAAAACTTAGTGTGCTGACCTATTTCTGTAACAGTTCTGCTTCCACTCAACGATAGAAGAGGAGGAGGGACAGGAAAGGAGGAGAAGAGAGGAGACTTTGTGCCTGGAGCCCCATTTGAGACTCAGGGGTGGAGAGAACACCACTCTGGTGACTCGGAGGTGCTACATAGCAAACCTGGCATTGTTAGCAGTACTGAGTCTCCGCAGCTCCCATGGGGTCTGCAAGGATCCAGAAGTTCTCTACTGCCCCATTGCTGCCAAAGTTGCATAAGCAGAACGTTGCCACAGTGGAGTGAGGTGACCTTGTAACCAAAGGTTACATGTCCAACTCCCCAAGTCTAAGATCAACATGGAGGTTCAAGCAAATAGCAGAGGTGAGCTGCAGGGCTCGTGTGAGCCTAGATTAGATCAAGTTACACACATATACACACACACACAGAAAAAGAAAGTATGTGTTGGGTTGGGGCAGGGCACCAAATTCTGTTCAATCCAAAGAACAGAACCTAAGTTCACCAGCTGTGGACTTGAGCCCCACAGATCAGTCGGCACCCAATGATCAGAAGACTGGGGGCCATTGCCAGCGACCCATGGAACTAGTAGGGGAAAATAAGGCCTTGCTTTCGGGGACCTGAGGCCCCAGA